ATTATAATCACTTCTTGTTCACATCTCTGATATCCCCATGGCTCTTGCTGCTCTCACTGGTAGTAACAACACCTCTGAATTTACTACCATCTGCAAATATCATTAGCTATTGTGTATTCCCTCTCCCACACTATTAATGAAGATGTTAATTAAGACCAGAACTAACACTGACCCCAGCAGCAATCCACTAGACATTTATCCAACTGGATAAACTTCTGTTAGTCATTACCCACTGCTCATAGACATCACCCTTCCCTTCATCTGCTAATTTGTGAGAGACCGAGGGAGAGAATTAAGGGAGTCCAGTATTATTTAAAAATTAACACTCTGATACTTGAGGTTTTGGAAAGGGATTTGGGCGGTTGTAAGGAGTATGCATTAGTGCAGTGAACCAGCCTTCAGAAGAATTTGGTAATTGCTTGATGATGCTTATTGGCTTCTCAGAATTTAGCCATGTAAGGCTGGAGTACACCGATACAAATTATATAGTGTTCTTTGCAGCCACTTCCTTCCACACACGATCAGACTGAGGCCCAAAAAGGAAAACAGACTTGTCCAAAGTCACTTCCCTACTTAGTGATAGAACCTGAATTGTAAGTTGGGGCTCTAACCTCCAGTCTCATGCTCTTTGCAGAAGCAAAGGTGAGCATGCTTCATAGAGGTTCTGTTCAGACACCGGCACATTAGCTACTTGCCCACTAAATCCTAAACTCACAGAGCGCAGTACCCATCGGCTTCATCTTTTTGTCTCCAGTAAACCATCTTCTATAGTAGGAGGTCTTTACATACTTATTAAAGGAATGAGCATTATTCACCACAATGCGCTGTTCTCTCAACCTATAAATTAGTGGTTCTCAACCCTGGCTAAACATTAGAATCACCCAAGGGAGCTTTTAAAAAATACCGATGCCCACACCACACCCCTAGAGATTTGAATTTAATTGGATTGAGGAGGGGCCCAAGACCTGGTAATTTTTTAAAGCTCCCCAGGTGATTCTAATGTGCAGCCAAGGCTGAGAGCCACCTCAAAGGATAGAGTGTTTTCCCAAAGACTCCTAAATTGGGAGGTTTCTTGCTCTATAGTGGGGTCAGTACAGAACCACTGTAACTTAGCAATTAGATGCAAGCCTTTCTCCTAAACAGGAAACTTACTGCTCTTCAAAACTTCTCCTTGCAAAGAATGCAAATTACATAGCCAACTCTGAATGATATAGTTCGGAATCTATTAAGCTGGTGGTGCTATTTACTCCTGGCCATTTTTTCCAAATGTTAACTGTGTAGGCAGTACTGCCAACTTGAAACTCTGAGGTGATTCTGAAGTGAGTTACGGGTTTAGTATAAAAACTGGCCCAATGGAACAAAGTCAAGCAAAGATCAGAGGACTTACCAGTGTTTGAGGTGTGTGCTTATTTAGACATTAATACCCATTGTACCCACTGCAGTCACCAATGCCTTCTTGCTGCTGGTGTGGCAATGAAGCCTTAGTAGATGAAACATGTAGGTCAAAGACAAAATAAGGAAACATAATCTCAGGCTTCTTCCTGGATAAAAGCCCAAAAAAGAATAAAAGGCTGGGCTTTGGAAGATTTCAGAGGTTGCTAGTCTTCTGGCATCACACTTTGTGGTCTTTCTCACTTTAGGGAAACATCCCTAAATGACTAAGTGCCCAGCAGCACTCATACCTGTCAGAATGGGGGGATGGCAAGTGCTCTTGTTTGGTTGTGCAGGTTGCTCACTGCCCAAGAGTGTCTGGTGCATGGAGGCTGCAATCTGCAGTGAGAAGTGCTTCCAGGAAGGACAGATGGCTCTATTTGTAGTTCACAGAAAGATGCCACACGGAAATTGGGGTGCCCCAAATTCAACAGGTTTCCACAACCTTGTCGTATGTTGCAGAAGCCTCATCATGAAAATAGGGAAGAGAGACGAGCAAGGAGACCATCTAAAGTGTTGAGGAGGGGCCATAAGGGATTGCCCACCCTCTGAGACTATGCTCCAATATGAGTGACTCTCAATGATGGGTATGGCTGGGATAAAACAGGAAAGTGCATAGGAAGGCAGTGAAATGTGGAAATGGAATATCTGTAGAGCAGACAATAAGACCCACGGGAAAAGGAAGTCTAAGGTGGAAACACATTTCACATGTTCACTCTCTTACCAACTGAAGCTGAGGCCCCAGCCATGGCTCGCAGGCTTGCCCACTGCTGTTACACTACAGCCTCGTTCAGCTTCTGGGAAAGAGAAAGAATCCTAGCAACAGTCACTGATGGAGGGTCAGGACAAGCACCTCCACCCGTGAATGCTTCCAGATGCACTCAAGTGTTGTCCCAAAACGCTGCTCCAGAAACACAGCTTAGCAAGAGAGGGACTCCTCTGGAGGGGAAAAAAAAAAATCAGTCATTTTGACAAGGTCAAAATACCAATAAAACAGCATTCCCAATTGGGAAGTTATGGGTCAGGACCACAGTTCATTAGAACATGTTCTTTTCTGCTTCTTCCTTCTTAGACTTCTTGACTACGGCACAGTTTTTAATGTGTGCCCCCAAGCAGAGGCTCTCTGGGCACATAGTCTTCAATAAAAACATGTGAACAAACCGTTGGATTTTGGATAAGGGTTCTCTCCCCCCTTGAACTGTTAAAAAGAAAGAATCTAGGGGAGGGGGGAAGTGGAATAATGGAGCCAAACAACCTATCCAAGAATGGGTTATCCCAGGTGGTATTTGGGCATAGAATTTGTGGGCTTTGGTATGGTCTGCACTACTCCAGTACTGGGACTCTGCAAGCAATAAAATTTCCCATAGGATCTGAAAATTGGGGCAATTTTCATGATTTCCCCTTTGCTTGCACCTTGGAAAGCTCTGGGAGGAGGCCAGAGGAGTGAAAAGGAAGGAAGGGAGGGAGGGAAGGAGGAGAGAGGGACAAGAACTCGGGAGGACTCATTTATTGAGTACGGGCTGCTGGCCAGATGTTGCTCTTGGCTTTTTCATACATGCAATGCCCCTTAATCTTTAGAACACCACTGGGAGGTAGGTCTAGTGTCCAGGGTTATAATCAAATCAGATTTATCTGATTTCAAAATTCCTCTCTTTTCCTCTTAACAAGTTGTCTCCACCAACTAAATATACATATATATATGTATGTATGTATATGTATATATATATATATACCTGTGTATATGCATGTGCATATGTGTGTTTCATACCATCACTGTTTCTTAACACTGCCCTATCACCAAGCAACCAAACAATGGGGTAAGTTTCCTATTTCTGTTTTTTATACTCTTCTCAGGCTAAATGGTTTTTCCTCTCTGTAGAGTTGCCCCTAATGTTGTTTTCATCTGTCTTTGCCTGTACATTATTAACGAAAAGAGGAAAAAGGAAGGGGCGAGGCTGAGGGAGATCATTTGTCCTGGTTCTGTTGCTTACTGGACATGGTTTGGTTGTTTTTTTTGTCTTGGGGGAGGGGGTGCCACCGTTTGCCAAACCCCATACCGCCCAACTGTGGGGATTCTCAGATCTGCTTTAGATAAATAGTTCACCCTGCCTGACCCACATTTTTCTGACAGCTGAAATTTCTCCCCTTTACAACCATCCTTGGAGATGCTTCTCTTCAAAGTGGCCATTCTCTACTACTTTTAAAGAGGGTTGAAGACCTTGCCCCATTGCCAGGGGCTCCCACCTTTTTGCTTTTTTCCTGAGAGGAAGTGGATAGAGGGGCTGGGGGTGGGAATGCACAGTGATGAGGCTGCAGGCTCCCTTCCCATTGGTCACCTGCTGTCCAGTGGAGGAGAGCATTGGCTGGTTTTCCCTGTGTCTCTCTGGAGCACACCCAGATGCTTCGGAAGGAGATGCTATCACAAAAGGGTTTATTGGGAGGGGGGGAGTGTGAAAGGGATGGGGCTCTTTGCAGGGACACTTGTTCCACGCTTCAGCCTCTGCTGTCTGGAGTCTCTATGTATTGATTCTTTCCTCTCTCCACTCTCTGCTTTCCATGGGTTTATCTTTATACCTACTTGATAAAGACAAGCAATCCCCACACTTACCGTATTTTATTAAAGTTTGGTGGAGAGGAGGAAAGAGGAAGAAAAAGCCTGGAGAGGGGGCATGGGATGGGGGTGTGATACTGGTTGCTGGAGAGAGAGAAAGAGAGGGGAATGAAAGGGAAGGCAGGCATGCATGGGAGTCCCAAGCAGCAGCCAAGAAGCAGAGAAAGGGCTGCTGGGGACAAGGGGGGGGGGCGCAGTGTACCAAAAGTCTTAACAGAAAAAGAGCAAAGACCTGAATTTGAGGAATGGTGAAAAACTGAAGTGCACATGGACTTTGGGATGCTACTGGCAAAGAGTGCTGCAAAAAAAAATACAAAACAAGACAAAACAAAAAAACAAAACGAGCCACCCTGACAACTCAGAGAAACAGAAGTTGTGAGGAGGCAGTTAGGAGATGACACAGAAATGGCCTAGCAAATAAATAAATAGATGCCAGAGTATGCTAATATACTGAGGGGTGGAGAGAGAGAGAGACTGAGACAGAGAGCGACATCAAGTGAAAGCAGAACAGAGACAGCAGGGACAAAACACACTCACATAACCAGACCCCAAGAGAGGGACACACAGAGAGAGTCACACAGAACAAGACAGAAAGGGCTGAGAGAGGGGGGTGATGGGGGTGGAGTCGGGCGCTCGAGAGTCTCCAGCCAAATGCGGGAGACTTGGCAGGTCGACAGCAGCAGCCGGGCCAGGCAGTAACTGCACTTGCTGTGTCTAGTCTATTGTTGTCACTGAGGGGGGGCAGGGGGAGTTGTTTGTTTGTTTTGTTGTTTGGCCTCTTTGTCTCTTTTGTTCCAAGCAGTTAGTTTGCTTCTTTCCCAGACACTGGGCTGAGGGAAGAGCTTTATGGAAGAGCTTTTCTTAAAGGGACAGGATGAGCTAGTTGACCAGTATGAGCGATTTCTCAGTCCTGCCCAGTTCCCACCTAAATGACTGTGTTCTTTTTGTTTTTTTAAAGGATCCTATTAAGAATGGACCCTCGGTGTTTATGCTGCTTTTGTGCCTGATTAACAAGAATAAAGCAGTCAGTTTCACCCTCCCCACTAACTCTCCTCGTACAGGGCTGCCAACACCGCAGGGGAAAGAAGACAAAAAGAAGAAAGCCCTGCAAACAAAAGTAAATGGAGACCATACATACATAGAAATAACTCCAACACATGGTTAAATATTCTACTTTTTTAAATTAAAAAAATGTATGTCTATTTTTTACCTAGGCATCTAGGTATATAAATATACCTCAGAAAAATACACTTGGAGTTTTCTATTGGGAGAGGGGCTTTGAAGGAAGAGAGGTGGCTGGGTCATCCCTCCACTGAGGCTGCCAAGGCCATACACCCTTAGTCTAACACCCAGGCTAGGTTTCCTCCCAGGTCCTTCTCTGCCTCCATCCGAGAGGACAAGCAGCCCAGCACCCAGGGCCCTGGGAGCCTGCCTTGGGTCACTCCACCAGACTTGGCCTTCCTGAAGGAACTGACCATGAATACACTCGGGCGGCCGAGGTGCTATTGTCAGAGGGCACTGAGTCACTAAACTGAACAGAGAGCTAGCTGCTCTGTACTTATTTGAGGAGAGGTAGGGGGAAAAGGGGTATCTATCCCCCAAGCCTCTGACATTTTTTTTTTCTAGAGCTCTCCCAGCTCCCTGCCCCCAGTCATTTAAATAGGTTTTGACCTAAAGCAGACAGCTTCTGAAAGAAATCCTCTCCCCAAAAGCACGTCTAGCCCTTTTGGTTAATCCTATCTTTTCCTTCTCTCTTGCCTTCACATCTCCCAGTGAAATCTAGGGTGCTGGAGATTAAAAATGAATACAACCCAAGGGCCTGGGGCTATGCCAAGGGTACTGATGGGTGGAGATGGCAAAGGGAAATGGGGGCTCCTTTGTGAATGAGATCCTTTATATTCTAAGCAAACACAGATCAGAGTGGATGCTTCTGCCCTGCTAAGTGTGGTTGCCACAAGTCGGAGGATACCATCGGGATCTGGGGGGTCAGGGGGCCTTCTCCTCCGCCCTACCCTAGAGGAGTTTGGGACTTAAAAGGTAGACAATTCTGTCAACCGCTTCTGGGTGGACAGGGTGAGGAGTTAAGAAGCAGGCTGCTTATACCCACAACTTTATCCATGGTCCCCCGCTACCTTAATTTTTCTTCTCTCGCCTCCCCCACCCTCTTGCCTTTTCCAAAGCTGCCACAGGGGTCCCACTGAAATGGCTGCATTATTTTGATTCTGCTGGGGTGCCGTATGAAGGGCCCAGGAAACCTCCCTCCTTTTCAGGTCACCCTCTGCTGGGCTGTCCCCAACACAACTTTGGTGGCAACATGGGTCATGGCGTGCAGGGACCAACTGGGTGTGTGTGTGTGTGTGTTGCGGGAGGGAGGGGAACGAAGAGATGCGAACTTGGTTCTGGGAAGGCCCAGTCTGAGCAAGGCCTGAGCGAGGCTTGGCGGAAGCTCGCAGGATGCGTGAGGCACGCGTTTGCCGACAGCAGTGCAGAGAGAGAATGTGGTGGGGGGGCGGACAGGTTTCCCGCTGCTCTTATGGGGAAGCATTTGTAGCCACTTTTGCTTTAGGTAGAGAGATCGCATCTGGGGTCACACGAGGTAACAGACATCTTCCTAACCTTGAGCGTAAGAAAAACTTGATTCTGATTCCGGAAACGTTGGCGCAACACGTTAGCTCCTACAGACATCGCTCAGGGGCAGGCGTCGTCTGCAACCTACGATAAGAACATACCCGACGCGGTGAAGGATCGAGGGCCAAGTGCTGGCCCTGACCCTGGCGGGGACAAATCTGATTCCAAGACCAATCCAGTAAGGTTGAGAAATGCCCCGGGGGCCCCAGGCCCAGGAGTCTTTGCCTCTTCCGTCATCCGAGGTGGATTTCGTTTCTTTTCCCCCCCGCACGAGTCCCAGCAGCGAACCAGGAGATTTAGTTTCGCAGGAACTTTCCCGTTGACTTCTTGGTTTGAAAGTTGAAGCCCCAGGGGAGTAAGGCGGGCCACAAACATCTCAAAACCCCGCTAATCCTAGACAAAATAAAAATACAATAGGCCACAGACTAACCAACTTCGGGCCCTTTCCGCGGCGGTCTCCTGGCCGGGCGCACAAGGAGCTGCGCAACCCGCCAGAAGGGAACCGTTCTCACTCCAGTTCCCCACCTGTGGGAAGACCTCAGGAAGGTCTTAGAACCCGGTCTCCTCTCTACTGCCTACTCACGTCCCCGAAACAAGTATAAAAACAACACCGAATCCGCGGTACCCACAGCTCCGAGAGAGGGGGCCAAGAAGCCCCGGAGGCTTGCCTTGAGGCCGAGCTCCGAGCTCCAGGACATAGGGTCTCCCTGGGAGACGAAACCCAGCTGGAGAACTCGCGGCCTGGGAGCCCCGGGCCCCCACTCGCGAGACTACTCGCTGGGCGCGATGGATGCATTTCCTAAGCCTCACGCCGGATAGCTGGGAGGCAGGCAGAAGATCAAGGCTCTAGCACGATGGAATCTTAAAGAAAAAAATAAATAAATGTGAAGCAAACCAAACTTCAAGCCTGCAGGTCCCCGCGGAAAGTGAGGTGGAGACGAAGGGGGCGGGAACGGCGGAGGCACAGTGAGTGGGGGATGCGGCAAGAATTCCGTTCCCTGCAGAGTCGATGCCTTAGGGGGCTCCACCACCTCGAGCTCCCTCCCACCCACAAGGTTTGGATTCACGGGAAGGTGAGGGGTGGGAAGGGAAAGGAGCAAACTGGCGGTGGGGAAGGGGGGGTGCTTTTTCTCCTCCTGCCAGCGCCAGGTGAGGCGAACTTGAGGTGGCAAAGAGCAAGAAAACTTTGGAAAGTTGGGGTAGCGCGGTTAGTGGTGGAGGTACAGGACAAGCAAGCAGTGCTGGGGTGGGCTTGGGGTGCGGGTGGGGTGCTACTGGGAGGCTAGGTCCGGAGGTGGTTAAAGATCCAAGTATCCTGGGTTCGGTTCGCCCATGGCCCCAGGGGCTTCGATGGGCAGATAACTGCAGGGAGCCTGAGTAGGCGTCTTTAGGAAACAGACAACGCAGAGCCGGGAGTTTGGAGTTTGGCGGTTTGTGCCGAAGTGGAAAGCACTACCCGTGACAGCGCAGAGCAGCAGTGGGAAAGGCTCATCTGCCAAGACGGGATTAGGTCCACGGGCTCAGGGGCTCGGTCACCCACATTCCCCCACCCAGAGAGAGCCGTGCGTTCGCCAGGAATCTGTGGGGCGATGCGCGGGGTTTCACATTGTGCGCGCTGGGTCTCCCTCCGAGCACCACGTGCGCCCACGGCCTCAGGCTGGGACATTTGGGTGGGCAACCCCAAAAAGGAGGGGGCCGCAGAGCCAGGACCAGGCTTATGCTAGGTCCCAGTGGGCGCATCCTTGCGGGGGGGGGGCGGAGGGGCAACCGAACTTCTCCCTGCGCCCTGGGAAGGAAGTATGGTGCTCCCGCTGGAGCGCGAGGCCGCCGCTGCTGGTTCCACACACCGCCTAGCATTTCTGCTTTTCCTCATTGCGCACCAGGGAAAGGCATAATTCAATTATACCATCCAAGTGCAATGCAGCCTTTTCCTCTTTTGCTCTGGAACCTAGGGCATTTCGAAGGGGAATCTCCAAATTCGCAAATAAATACCTTATCACTCTCAAGTCGAGTTGGGTTCTGTAGTAACTACTGGGGAGGGGGTGGGGGGGAGAGGGAGGCAAGATCCCAATTGGATGTGAGTTTACAGCCTGAAGCGACTTATTTAGGCTCATTGAGCGCCATTCCAAACAGCTCGGCTCGCGCTATTTCGGGAGAAGTTGGAGAGTGGAGAGAAAACAAGGTTATTTAAAGTGACTCCCAGAATGCGATATTCCTTCCATGGCTCCCTAGGTGTCTGCGTCTGGGCTCCAGTTTAGCAGCCCAGGCGGCCCAGCCTTTGATATTTAAGAAGGGCCAGCTCCCAGGTGAAACTACCTGTTGGGAGATTCCGCAACCCAGACATTCGGTGCTCCTTTCGACCCTGCGCAATCCTGACAGCGATGGGATGTCTGGGGTTGGCACCCGCGGGGTGAGGACAGTAGAACCGGGAGCTACAGACAACGTCAGCTGCGCCTGGCAGTGCCCAGCGAGCTGCGCCCGCGCCTCTGCCCGCTCTTTGAGAACTGGAAACAGTCCCCACTGCGCTATGCAGGGCCCCTGGCTGCAGGGATGAACTCTAACTCCGCACAATTCTCTAAATTCGGAAACCACGAAATGGTACGGTTTAGGCTGGCGCCTCCATGCAAGCCTAACTTTAAAAAACAAAAAGTCTCCTGGTGGCATCCTAGGCGCCTACCCCCGCCCCCCCACCTCCGCCCCTGTACTCCAACACCCAGCACTTTTCCTTTTTCCGAAATTCACTTTATTACTTCTTGAAATTCAGAAAATTCTGCTGACGCCTGGACGCCCGGCAACCCAGAGGCTGCTTACAGCTCCTGCACCAGTTGCTGGAGAGATAGATACCACTCCGCTCTTGCGAGCAAACAGAATCTATTTTTAAACAACCGAACTGAATGAGGGAGCGGAGCTAGCAAGGGAAATTTGTGCATGTTTCAAAGACCGTTGGGGGGAATTTTCGGAGGCTGGAGTACAGGGGGCTTGTCCCTCGCACGAACCTGTGAGAAGGACAGTTCCGGCCCGGCGCTGGGGCTGGAAGTCTCTTTTGGCAAGGGCACAGCCGGTGTCTGGCGTGCGCGTTTAATAAGACCCTTTCGGACACACTCTCAAACAGAGCCCGCCCCGACCTTAAATTGGGGAGATGTGGAGGCGCAGGCTGGGCTAAACCGGGAAAATTTCCTCTAGACGTGGAAGGGACTCCGCGTTGCGTCTCCGATGCGGGTTTCTGCTTTTTGATAGCGAACCCCACTCCGTTCAGGGAGCAGTGGAACTTGGGTGAAGCCCTACTGATGGGGCCGTTTGGAGTCCGAGGGGACGGAAAGACTTTTCTCTGTGGCAGGGGGTACAGCGGAGCTTTATTTTTCAGGGCATGCGCTCACATCCTCCACCTTCACAAAGGACTCCGGTGAAAACGAAATGGGGACAAATATTAGGCAACTGCAGGGAAGGATGGGGGTAAGCCTCATCTTGTTTAGGATCCTTGTTTTGACAGTGAAGACTGCAGGGCTACGTGGAAGAATGAGAATTTGCTAATGAGAATTTATTGCACAGGGATGAGAGTTAAGACTTTGAGCTAAAAGACGGCTCAGGACGCTTCCCGCGCCGCAGTCACTTTTCACGATCCTGGCAATACAGCTTGTTCGGCCTTTAAGTCACACCCCTAGTCCCAGTCCTTAGTGGCATTTCCCTTTCCCGCGTGCCTCCTTCCTGCCCACTCATCTCGGCTTCAGGTTGCCCGGGACCGCTCGGCGGCTGGACTAACTCTTTGCGAACTTGCCCTTCGCCAGACGCACACGCACCAGTGGGCTCTCCTCCGGCAGCGCGGCCACTCGGCTGCCCTGGGGACCCTCGGGGGCCTGGGAAACCCGGCGTATTTTCCAGCGCTCAGCCTCGGAGCTCCTGTTTTATTTCAGCTCAATCCCAGGGGCACGGACCCAAGGATAATAAACAATGCTGCTTATTGAGATACAAACGGGCGCAGAAAAGAACCACGAGGAAAAGCAAGCACAGAGGCGTGTTAGCAAGTGGCCAGACATTCACAACTGCCTTTCAAAGTGACTGGTGCAACGGAAGGGATCGCGCTAAAATGACCGGAACTCGCAGAATATAGGTGTGTCGAAGGGTGACGGTCGGAGCTGTTTTTGTTTATTTGGTTTTGCCTCTCGAAATCAGGCGGAGTTGTTACCTGCCCAAGCCTCTCAACAAGCCTCCTCCTTCTCGTGTGCCCCTCCCTTAGATCGCTAGGCCTCATTATAAAGGAAGGGGTCTTCACGGCGTGCGCATTCCAGATCTTTGATACCGTTATTCCTGATCCCCCCAAGAACTGAAAACGCTACCTCCCCTTTAGGCGGTGACAACAGGAGCTTTGGGGAAGGTGTCATTGTAACAGGCGTGTCTAGAGAATTCAGATAGTTAAACACCGATACCTTTTGAGTGCAGAGTGGGTCTGGGGATTCCTCCTGGAGTAAGGGTGAAACCGATTTCTGCCTTGCCTGATGGACTTGGGAAAGGGCCTTGGGTCTGCTCTGAATGCCCCCCTCAACAATGTCAGAAAATCTTCCTGCCTGCAAATATTGGCACGCTGCTGCTGCTGCTGCTACAGCAGGCGGGGCTGTTTTAAATAGGAAGAAGACCACAGGGCTTGAGAGAAAGTCGGAACCTTCCCACCCACCAGGCTACCTGCCTCCCATCCCCAAATATAAAGCGCTGGCAAAGGAGACTATAAGGAAAATCCCCATTCCCGTGAGTAGGGTGGGAAATGAATCAGTACTATGTTGTGGGAACACATCTCTATTTGATTCTCAGGAGCTGGGGTGCCCCAGAACAGGTCTCCCTAACTCAGCTGCTAAAGTTCTAGTGTCTGCACCTTCTATGGCCTGGCCTCTCCACGGTTGTTGTGGTTGTTGTTGAGTTAATGCTGGAAGGGGTGTCAGAGGTGCTTTAGTTCAATTCTACTGGGCAACTCTGCTTCTGGTTGTGCTAAGGGGAGGGTCTGTCTCCCAAGGCAAGCCCTGTGTCCCACATAGAACTCTCAGCCTAGGGAACTGGACTGGGGCTGACTCTGGCTGGGCCAGGGGGCTGGGTCGTGAATTACAACCCATCTGCCAATCAAGAGCATCTCTTTTGTCAGGAAATGATAATGGTACCAACTACACCCAAGGTACAGCCTAAACGTTCTTTTCCCACTTCCCACCCTAAGCTGTGGGCCTTGCACAGCGTTCATACATTTTTGTTTCCTAATTTAATTTCTTCAGAACTTGTTCAGCTGATTCCAGCCCTTTCTGCCTACCCTAGATGTCAACGTCTCCTAGGAAGGATTCCTGCCTCATGAACTCAAGCTTGAGATGCTTCCTCTACAAAGACTGAAGCTGAATTTTAGAAGATGCCTCAGTCATTTTTGGTGGTGAGCGTTGCTCTGTCCTTCCCACCATTTTCCAAATCAGTTGGCCTGCATCTTGTCATTTCACAGATGAGGAAACTGAGGCACAGAAAAGGGACTTGACTTACTCAAGGACATAAGTGAGCTGAGAGCAGAGTCTTCACAGGACCCCACATTTCTTGATTTGATGTCCCTTTGCTCAGGTTTGAGGGTGGTGTGATAGCTGATAATAAACTACTATTCATTAAGCATCAACTGTGCGCCAGGCCACGTGTGGTGCCAGACACTTTACACAAATCATCATCATAGCAAGTCTAAAAGGCATCATTAGTCCCAATAAAAATTAAAAAATAAAATTATAAAAGTAATATGTCCATAAATCAAAATACCTCAAACAATACCAAAGGGCATAAAACGAAAGTAAAAATCTCCTACTCTACCCTCTCTCCCAGAATCATGAGTTTTCTTTCCTTTAGTGGTTCTCTCCATATCTGATAGACAGATGTGATCATTGCTTTATGAATGAGGAGAGGTGGGCTCACGATCAAGATACCCAGCTGTGGCTACCTGATTCTGGGCTCAGCAATTCCATTACCCTACATTAGCTAAGGTAAGTGGTGAGAGAAAAAGGAAGGAGTGAGGCCACAGCTCAAAAGAAGGGTCAGGTCAGAATTAACATCACCCCTTGCTGTCCTCTCCTCCTGCCCCTTCAGGGCGCCCACTTATTGCTCCAGTTTTCCAGGACCTGTGACCACAGGATCTCTCCGTGCAAATAACCTGATGATCATTTGTGATGGTTACATGCCTTTGAGGCCTCGGTGCAAAGTGAACAAGTATCTCTCCTCAGGCCCCTGTCACCAGAGTAATATCACCCCAGTACTGTCCCCCCATTTGCTGCCTCGACCCTGGACAAGCTCTGGGACTGGGGCAAACCCCAGCTTTAGATTTATCTGCCTATCTGTCAGGGTTGTTGGTAGGTTCAAATGAGAGACAGGAAAAGAGCTGTGTAAACCTGAAATCTCTGTGTAAATAGAGCAGCTGCTTCCCAAAGGCCTGTTTAGGAACCTGTGGCCTTTCAATGTGCAACAGTGGACTTTTAGGGTTCTTTGCCAAAGGGTGTATTTTGGGGATTTGAGGATTTGCGTTTTGGGTGTGTTGTCTCAATAGGGGCAGGGCTAGAAATGCATCTTAAAATGGGAGGGGATATTCATCTATCTGTGAAAGATGGGAGCACTGCATCTTTGGTTTGAGACTTTGGGGATATGAAGTGGATTTCTTTCAGCTGGAGAACACACAGAGCTAAGCTGATGAGGGCAGAAGGAGGCAGTTATCCTGCTTGGGGTACCGTGGGTTGGTAAGAGGTGTGGCTGAAAGGACGCCTGTCCCTTTGCGTAAGTGTCCACCACCAAGGGCTCATCTTAGACTTTTCAGGGGCAGACAAAGTGTGTGTGTGTGTGTGTGGGGGGGGAGTGAGGATAAATGCTAGACAGCATGAGCTTCCCAGACCAGTCATTTCATTTGTGTGTTACTATTTGTTTGAGTGGGAAGGGGAGGGGTATTAGAGATGGATGTGATCATTTTTCCAGGAGTCCTGTTCCAGAGGCTCCTTCATTCTGGAAGAATCTTTAGAAACATCCTGAATTGAGGGACCTCCAAAGGAGAGCAAATAATAGGCCCTGGACATGTCTCCTAGGCTCTGGCGGGGAGAAGCAGCTGGGGAGAGCTGGTCTCTCGGAAAACCTTTCTAGAAACATGCATGATCCTGTAACACACACAAATCTAAGATGGTATGAAGGGAGAATCTGAGCGTCAAGGAGGAAGGAAACCGGTTTGAAGATGAATGAAGGGGCTGGGGAGTGGGTTGGCTTCAGAGAGGCACCATGAAAAACAGGGGAAGTCAGATTTTCTTAGAGGCCCAGCCTGCCTTCAATGCCTGTGTCAGGACAAAGGATGCTGCGCCCCCTGGTGTCAGACTGGCGGTCGGAGCCAGCGAGCTGCGGCGGAGACCCGCGGGCGGCGAGACCCAGGGACCAGCTGGAAAAGTCTACGGGTCAGATGCCTTTTCTTCTATTTGCTAAGGGAGTTGAAGCTGAAATAGCCTTTGCTTTCTCAACTCTGGACTCTAAATAGAGACTCTGATGTAGACAGAGCAGGGTTTTGTTTTTCTTGCATGCAATTCAGGCTGACAGGACAATGCTTGTTTAGAAGTAACCTGGTGAGGTGGGAAGTACACTAGCCTGAAAGAAAAAACCCCCTGCATTTTAGGTAGACTGCTGGTCTGGGGTGAGTCATTAAAAATTTTAGAACCTTCCTTTCTATGTCTTAAAACCAAAAGGGTTAGCATAAGATGTTTTAAGGTCTGTTCCAAGCTCTCATTTTGGGATTTATTGGATAATCATTACACTCTTTTCTGAGAGCCTTGCATATTTGACATCATTTTTTTCTATTTACACACAGGTGCAGATGTTATATGTTTCAGCTTCATGAGTTCCCTGATTCTGAGCAAAGATTTCTGTGTCCCCTTTCCTTTTAAAAATGCAAAACATGCATCTTTTCAGCACAGAAAGCAGTCCCCTCCACCTTTTGTGGGGCCTCCTGCAAAAAGCAGCAGAGTGAGCAGGCCTTCAGTCTCTGCTCCATTTCTTTTTAAAAATAAAACACTAAAGTGTCATGCTGGAAATTATGCTACTAAGTGTTACATGTAGTAGGTGTGAATATGTGCTTCAATAGTTCCAGGCACGAGACCAAAAACTTCCCCAGAATTAGCAGTTTTCAGCTATAATCTGGCTAACATTTCTGCAAATAGGTAGAAAGACCAATTTGGGAGTACACTGTCTCTCTAAGGGGCTGTATGGTTGGGTTCCATTGAAATTTCGGGCTGTCCCTGGTACCGTCAGGTGATTTTAAGTAGGAATAGCCCTAGGAAGAATTATGTAGCTGCTGAGAGCTACCTCTCCATAACCTTGCACGCCTAGTCTCTGAAATCAGTAGTCAGTTATACCTCATGGCAATTTCTTCTTTCTGCACTGCACCTGAACTCTTAGATCTATGTAATGGGTACACATTGGTTTTTGTTTGTAAGAAACTTACTATAATCCTGCAAAGGATCGCTTGAGTAGCAACCTTAGTTTTGCAGATGTGGAGAGAGCATGCAGCCATTGTTCTGTAATAGACAGCTTCAGTATTCTATATGCTTGATGGGAGGAGCAGGTCCCCCCCCCCATAAGAGAGGTGAACTGGGAGGATGAAGAGCAGCACACACAATATGACCCATGGCAACTGTTGGGGAGGGGGTTAGTGCAGTGACTTGGAACACTGTACCCCCTCGTTAGGGGAATAGCTGTGTCAGGGGTTGAATTGTATTGTGTCCTTCCAAAATGTATATGCTGAAGTCCTAACCCCCAGAACCTCAGGATGTGACTGTATTTAGAGACAGGGTCTTTAAAGATATTATTAAGTTAAAAGGAGGTCATTAGGGTGGACTCTAATTCAGTGTGACTGGTGAAGTCCTTATAAGAAGAAGAGATTAGGACATAGACAAGTATAGAGGGAAGACCATATGAAGACACAGTGAGAAGGCAGCCACCAATGAGAAGGCAAGACAAAGAGTAAGACCCTGGGGAAAAAAATCAATCCTACTGACACCTCGATCTCTGATGTCATCTCCAGAATTGTGAGAAAATTAATTTCTGTCATTTAAGCTACTCTGTCTGTGGTGCTTTGTTATGGTAGCATCTAACAAGCTATTGTAATATAAGTTGCAACTCATACCAGTCAATTTTATGTTCCATTCGCGGATGCAGATCTAGAGTCACCAAATTTTTCAGTTTTTAAAGCAAGGCTAAGAATCTTTTGTTTTTTAAATGTTGGCAGCAGGGCTAGCTTCAAGGACGTGCCGCCTGTACAATCACACAGGGCCCCCTACAGTCAGCCCTTTGTATCTACAGGTTTCAAAGCCATGGATTCATCCAACTGTGGATCGAAAATATTTGAAAAAATGTCACACTGTTACTGACGTGTACTGTGTAGTTAGGCCTACAGTGGTTGTATCTGTCCTGAACAGATACATTTTTTCTTGTCATTATTTCCTAAATGATAATATAACTATTTACATAACATTTACTTTGCATTAGGCATTATAAGTAATCAAGAGATGGTTTAAATTATACAGAAGGATGTATGTAGGTTATATGCAAATAATGTGCCATTTTATATAAGGGACTTGAGCAACCTTGGATTTTGGTATCTGTGGGGGTTGGGGGGTAGGTTCTAGAACCAATCCCCCATGGATACTGAGGGACTGTACTAAGAAGGGCCTCAATATTTGGTTTAGTGCTCAGCTGTTCCCATCTTGAAATTCTTAAATTTTTAACAAGGGGCCTGTTGCACAGGGCCCCAGAAACTAAGTAGTTAGTCCTTGTTGACAACTAGTATAAATCTTAAATAATATTCAGGTTAAGCATACGGGGGCCAAAACAAAATATGTCTGAAGCTGGACGCAGCATGGGACACTGGAATAAACATTTTTTCACTAACTGGATTAAGACTCCCCATTCCCTGAGAATCCCTGGGAAGGAATTTATGGAGCCCAGAGTGTTTGGGGGTGAGAGGAAAGCACAGATATTCCTCAGGTGTGACTCCCTGAGATTCTGCATGAGCTAATGTGGCCATGACCAAGAGTTTTTCTTCCTCAGGGATGGTCAATGAGAACCTCACAATAAGCATATATTGAGGAAAGGCCCGACATGAAGAACAAAGTGTTTGGTTTGGGGTGAAGGCTGGGTTGGGTTCTGCACATGGCTGGTGCTGGAAGCGCTCCCAGACTCATCCATCAAGCACCAAGTTAGGCTTTGGGAAACTGGATCTGAGTATGTTCCCCAGTGCGACCAGCAGGGCCCTGAGGGGCAGTATTGCCCCACGTAAAAGCAACACAGAGACACAGCAAGTAACAACAGTGAGAGGGGACTGACCAGCCACCCGTTTTCTGCCTGCAGTTTGTGAGAAGGACTCTTTCTCTTTATGTGGGGCCAGTCCCAGGATTCTTGAGGGGTTCTCAGTTGAATTGCATTTGGAGGGCTGAGTTATAAGTGTGAAACCTGGGTTGCCTATTTCAAGGCCAACCTGGGCAGTTAATTGTAAGTAAATGACATACTTCAGTTTCATGGTACATGCCATACCAGTTGATTTGAAAACTTTGGAAAGTTTTGTCCCTGGTGAAAGGAAGACCAATCATCAGTCAATGGAGTCATGGGGATATGATGAGGAGAGCCTGTTTTTAAGGATATGCATTGATTTATAGAAGCTTCCCGAAAATATTATAGTGGGGTGTTTGGTCAGGAGATCTGCTTATTTAGTTCTATTTCTGCCCAGTACTGGCTAACCAGAGAGTGTAAATTTTAAAAGAAGTAATATCTTATGCACATTCAGGCAAACTCCCTCAGCGTAATGAGCAAAAGACTGTTTGAGACACTGAATTTCTTGGAAGAAAGTTGCTATATAAATTAATGTAGACCTTTTTTTTTTTCCCATTGCAGGTCTTCAGGACACATCGAAGAACTCTCCTATCATGAAAGGGAGAGAATGAAATGCTCATGAGCCTCCATCAGGAAAGCTAGAAATCTCCCAAATCCCATGACTCTGATTTTCAGGTCAGAGAGTAAGGTTTTATGTTTAGTATTTTTTTATACTTTGCATATAGAGAGTCCCTGAAGAGGCACGTGATGCACTGACTATTTTGTGAGGCCAGTTTGGGTGAGGCCAGGACTCAGGTGCAGCCGCGAGTACTCAATGGCACCTGCATAGCGATTTGTGGGACCCATGTCAGCTCCTACTACTTTCTGACAAATAGCACCCTCCCCCTCCCTGGAGTTGGAGAGCAGGGCTCCTCTTTTGGGCTGAGCCAATCCCAGGATGCATAAGGGGTTGGGGTAGTGCCCCAGTATTTAAGAAGATTAAAATTCTATATGTGGCACTTCTGATTTAATTCCTAAATGGCAGCTGCCTTAAGCATGTGGGAAATCAGGAGCCTTGCTAAAAATGTAAACTTAAAAGACCATTAATTTAAGAGTAATGAAAACTATGTCCACATAAAAACTTGGTCAATGAATGTTTATAGCAACATTATTCATAATAGTCCCAAAGGGGAGACTATCCAAATGCCCATCAACTAATGAATGGATAAACAAAATGTGGTATATCTATACAATGAAATACTATTTGGCAATAAAAAGGAATTAAATATTCATCGACACCACAGCATTGATGAACCTTAAAACATTGTGCTAAGGGAAAAGAAGCTAGTCACAAAGTATTGTATGATTCCATTTATATGAAATTCCTGGAACAGGCAAATCTATAGAGACAGAAATAGACTGGGGGTCAAAGGGTGGGCATTGGAAGATGACAGTACCATGGTGCAGAGTGTTTTTCGGGGGTGATGAAAATGTTATAAAGCTAATTATGGTAAATGTTGAACAACTCTGTAAATGTACCAAATACTATTGAATTTTGCACTTTAAATGGGTGAACTGCATGGTGTACAAATCATATCTCAATAGAGCTGTTTTTTAAAAAGCTTTTAAAAATAATACTTTTAAAAGGACCATTGGTTTATGTCTCTTTTTTTCTGAAGCTCACCACCTTGGGATACAAGTGCCCAGACTTAAAAGCAGACTATATGAGCTAAGTAAAATAAGAATGTGAAAAATACGAGCTTTCCCTGAGGTGGACAGAGTTATTTGCAGATCTACACATAGCCACTCTATTTGTACCTGAAACTGTTTTGAACTTCACTGAAAATTATTTCCTTAGGCTGAAATCATTAAAATATGTTGAAACAATGAAACAGCAGTGGCTTTGTTGTCTCTGTTTTCCTCATATTCTTCTCACCTTTCTTAAATAATAGCACCCCAGTCTTCTCTTACGAATTGCCTACCTTATTTTCAGTTCATGTGGTTTGAATATTTCTGACCCTTTGCCCTAGGCTCTGTGACTCAGGCCTGATCAATCAGCAAATTCTATTAAGTGGCATGGTGGCCCTGACTCATATCAGCTCATCCGAACACTCATAAATTTCTAGGAATTTCGTCAGTTGTTAAACATAATCATGACTAAAATGTAAAGTATATGAATTTATAATTATGTAAATTATATTTAAAACAGAGTTAATAGGCACTCAAAACTCATCATTTCCTAATTATTTGGGTACATTTTACTATTATGTGTGCTCTTGAGGTTACTTACATCTACTGGGTCTGTATGATGGAAGTGCTGTATAGCGATGTGTCCCTCCTCTCTGCTAACTTCATGTTCAGTGATTCCCACTGGTAGCTTGAAATTGGCCATGATGGCAGTATTTATACTACAGAACTAGGCAAGTACTATATATCACAGCTTCCCCTCTTCTGTCAAGAGATTGTTAAATGTGTACCAGCTGGAGTGGGTTGAATGGTGGTCACCAAAAGATATGTTTGAGTCCTACTACCTGGAATTTATGAATATGACCTCATTTGGAAAAAGGGTCTTTGCCACTGTAATGAAGTTAAGGATCTTGAGATGAGGTCATCCTGGATTATCCCAGTGGACCCTATATACAATCATATGTGTCCTTATAAGATGAGGTAGAGGGAAAATTGGCACAGACAGAGGAGACCCACAGATAAGAGGGGAATGCACTGGGGTCACATAGGCAGAGATTGCATGATCACAGCCACAAGCCAAGGGATGCCTGGAGTTACCAGCAGTTGGGAAAGAATTCCCCCTAGAGCTTCTGGAGGGAGCACTGCCCTGATGACACCTCGATTTTGGATAACTGGCCTCCAGAAATGTGAAAGAATAAATCTCTCTTGTTTGAAGTCGCCTGGTCTGTGGTAATTTGCTATGGCAGCCACAGGAAGCTAATACACCAGCATACCACTGCAGCACTATGAAATGGGTCAGGAATGGGCATGTGACCCAAGCTAGGACAATGGGAGGTCCGTTTTTATAGTAAAAGAAACACTCTCCTTTTACTGGTTCCATCTTTGCCACCATGTTTGCCTACAAATGAAAACAGTGCAGGAAGTAATGAAGTTGGACTCTAGAAAAAGAAAAGAGAAAAAGGCATTCTGGACAACGTTGTTGGAGAAGCTGGATCTGTTCCACCATGGGACTCTTTTGTGATGTAAACAAATTAATTTCTTTTCTTTTTAAACCAAGTTCCTAACCAATATAGACATGTTGACTTTCAGAGAACATCAGAAAGTGCTCATTTGCACAGACAGGGTTGTAAATACATACGAGTGCTATCATTTGATTAGTTACTATTTGAATCGGGCATACCTAACAACCACAAAATATATTTAAAACAGTGAACATTCTGAGATCTACCTGAATTCAATCATGTTCATTTGTTCCACAACACTTAGTGGGCTCAACCATGTCTAAAGTATTCTGTTTAGGACCAATACCCATCCATTTAAGAACTTACAATTTATTTGACAGTAAGGAGTTTAGTATAGCCCACATTATTGAGGCCACCAGCTGGATTAACTTTTCATTATTTAATCCATATTCTTCTGGGCAGTACTAAATTCATGGAATTTCATTATTTTTCCTAAAGTGAATTTATTTTAACATGCAATAAAAACACTGCAACTTCTTTATGAGATTACATTTAAGTACATTCACAAGTCATAAAAAAAATCTTTTGTCAAATTGAGTATTTTGGGTTGGGAAAATATTCTTATAGTGATTTTCAATGACATTGCACCTTTGGTAATTTTGTACCTTTCAGGGATTTTTATTTTCCATTTTTCTTAGTAATTTGTTAGTGTGGATAAGCACATTTCTGAAAGGACAATGTCACAGAAAATCCCAGGGAGAGACATACTGTATTGAACTCAGTTTAAAATAAAAGGAAAATCTTTTTACCTTCAGTAGTTCTATCTTTAACCATTTTTCTATTTCAAGAGGTTTAAAATTAATCTTGCCCCCCATAATCCTATTTCTTTCCTCTACTTTCCAATACCTTTGTTTTTTGATGAGCACATTTTGGATGAATTCCCAGTCAACTTCTAAAATCTAATTAAACAGAGCTAAGTTTAGCTCAGATAGCATTTACAGTCAGTTTTTTGATAGTTGAATAACTAGGGGCCCATCTTGTGAATTCTAAAAAAAAAAAAAAAATCATGGGTTCCTGAGGGTTGCTTGTTGCTAAAAGATCCTATTGCTAGTACTGATGTCACTAGTATCAATAAACTAATGCCTGCTTGTCTTGACTTAAAACAGAAATGAACTTCCAGATGCAAATATTCAAGTACTATTTATTCATTATACTTTTATTTTTGGTAGTAGCATTACTTATTAAAAAGAGAATTGTTTTGAGCATTTTCAAGGCAACTCCCCCCCGTCCAATAAATAATCAAACACATAAAGAACAAGCAAGCAAGCAAACCACTCACACTCACACACACACACACACACACACACACACACACACACGGCATAAGAAATAAGAGATTTCACTAAGGATATATAGTATACATTAATCAATAATAATTCACATTTACTCTCCTTTTGGTCTAGAACAATCTACTCTTTGCTACAAAAACGTAGCCACCAAAATATTTTGTGAGATTAGGATCATTATCAATATGGACTCAAAGGAAAACATGAAAAAATAAAAACGTAACTTCAAGATTCCCCAATTTTAAAGCTCCTATAGAAGCCTAAAATAAAAATTGGGAACATTAAGTTACCAAAGATAGAGGAAGCAGAGTAAAAATAAATGTTTAGGAAACCCTGCTTCCATTAACAAAAGCAGCTTTTAAATATTCTCATTACTATTCTTGATAAAGTTGGCTAAAGAGAACCCAAGCAAGTTTGCTTTTTCTCCTAAAGCTAAAAAGAAACTCCCCACTAAAGTTAAAATACAAGGAACCAGAAATAAATCAGGGATTTTTTCCATGATGGAAAATTTATACCAGAGGTACAAGAGTTTCTTTACACTAAATTGTTTTCTTCATCTGGAAACCACTGATAGAAATCTAGGTGAATGGATATAATTAAGTAGTTCTGTGGCTCCAACTCTAAAATACTGTTTTTTGTTTTGTTTTGTTTTCATCAAACACCTCAACATTTGCCCAGGAACCAGAGGAGAGGAACAGCTTTTTTAAGAATCAGACCCTACAAACATTTCCAAGCAGCCTGGACAAAGGCTTGGAATGACTACAATAGTGAACCATCCTGCCTTGGACCCCATTCTAGATTGATGACCTAATACATCTTTTCCAACTCTGACTGCCATAGTTTTATGAGCATCAAGAACTGGGCGCTTGCCACTGTCAACAATTAGAGCTTCTCCAGAGCTTATACATCCACAGAAACTTAAGTATCCCCAAAAGCACAGATCGCACAGTCTCCTAGGGCTCACGGTGCTTCTTCTAGCTTCACCACATGTGAAATGGAAACTCCTCTTTGGCAGGATATTTCTTAAAGAAAAGGAAGTGTGCCCGTTACTTTCCCATGTTATCTTGGCTTTAGAACAGAGCGATCACTGAGAAGCTAATGAAGCTTAACTTAAGCGTCCTCCTTCTCAGAGGCCCCTTCCAAAGCCCTATACCTGATTTTGTACTCGTAATTTTGCATTATTTTTGTTAAAGAAGTCCAATTAATTGTATAAGCTATAGACCTCTCCTCCTCTCCCCTAATGGGGATCTACTCCTCACTTAGAGAACTGGCACCAAATCTTCGCTTGAGAAAGTATAAAAATTAAACACTACCTCCTCTTTATTTTTTATGGACACCGCCTACCCCTGGCAAGTCTCCATTAAGGATGAAACCTCTTTGTTTGAGTCTCTGGTCCTCAGATGTCTTCTCCACTACAGTGGTGGTTCAAAACCCAGCCGTGGTTTAAGTTTATTCTCCTTAGCTTCTCCCTGACACTCCATTGTGGGCTAATTATTACAATGGCTTATAGACACTAAAGGCCGGAAGCGTTCCCATGCGTTCCTCCTTTTGGTTAAGTGGCATCACTGTTCCAGTGCCAGCTAAGCTTTGTTTTCCAGTAGAGTTCATGGATTTGGACTAGGCGTCTACACTTTCCTAATGGGGCTCTCAGGGGACTGAGCCACAGAAACATTTATTTTTTTCTGATTACAAAAGTAATGGCATAT